GTGCGTTTGCGGCTGTTTGGCTGCGATGAATGAGTGGGGGAATTAGGGAGTAACAAAAAGATGGCTTTAGGCGAAGTTTTGGACAGATCTTTCAAGCAACTCGGATGCGACTCTTCCTAGACCCTGGCTGACTTTGGAAAGCTCTTTTGAATGCGCGGTACTTGAATATAATGGGAGGAAGAAATAGAAAGGAGGCCAAAGAGAAGGGGCCTGGCTCCCCACGGGCCCGTGCCTTGTCTAAGCGTTGACACCTGGCTCGTGGAGGTGTGGACACCGGGGGCCACGCAGAGCGGGCTGGGGTCATCGCGCCTGCCCCCCACTCTGATCACGTCTCAGGTCTTCCCCCCGGAAAGAAATCAGGCCTTAAAATGCTGAAGCAAAAGTCCCGACTCTTGGCCAACCCTGCCGGAGTCTGGGCAGGTCATGGGGCTGGACGTGCCGCCCGGTGTTTCACCCCGTCTTTGCAGAGTGCGAGCGGGGGCACGCACGTGATGTGAACAGCCCCTGCGTGTGCATCGTGACGGCTGCCTCGTTTCCCCTCCCAGCTGCAGAGGCAGGAGGGGGTCAGGCTGGCCGGTGCAGGTCCCCATCCTGGGCAAGCCCTGTTGGCTTCTGCCGTGGTCGGGGGCATCGGTGCTGGTCCTGCCCTGTCACGTGGGGGCAGCCTGCTGTGCTGATCCACGGGAGGAGACGTGGCCAGGCCGGCACCAGTGCCCCCTCCGCGTGAGCAGCTGCCCCGAGTGCCTCCTCGCCCAGCGTGGGCCTGGCATCCTGCGTGCACGGGCAGGCAGCTGGTGCCCTCCTCTGCTGCATCTCTGTCTAGGATAGCCATTGGGCTAGTGCTTTCACCCCAGGCCCCTGCCATGCATCTCCATCTGCCCCCTTCCCTGCATGCGCCCTGCGGTGACTGCTTCATCCCTCCCCAGGTCCTTCACGTTGGTGGCAGGGACTCTGCAGAGCTGCTGGCGCGGCCCCGAAATCCCCTACCCCGACGCTCCCGGCCTGGTCCCAGTCCTGGGGCTCTGCACCTCCACTCTCCCCAGGGTGAGTTCAGGGAGTCGGGCCTTGAACACCCAGCAAACGAGGGCTGCGATGGTGCCCCTGGCATGGATGAGCAAAGAGGCCGTGGCGCCAGCGGGGCAGAGAGGTCTGCTGTGGGTGACCGGAGCCTCGACGAGGCATCGCTGCTGCTCCCGCCGTCCAGATAAAGACGAGGCAAGAGGTTTGCAGCGCTCGCTGCCGCGTTTCCTCGAGCAGTGGGAGGGTCACACACAGCCCCACTAACCCACTTCCTTCCCATTGCAGGGGCTGGGGGGTGGGCAGAGCTCGGGCTCCGCGGCGGATGGACACGGCTGCAACCACATCTCACAGCCTGGGGCCGACACGAGTGCACGGCCCCTGGAGCCCCTTTGGGGCAGGGGTCTTCCCGCCCCCGCTGCCCGTTCCTGGGCTGCCTGTCATTGCAATTAAAGCTATTCACCACCATCATTTCTGGCTGTGCAGTGTTGCAGTCAGGAAGAGGAGTCCGCAGGAGGAAATGTGGTTTAGCTTTTAAACCTGGGTCCTCTGTGATGGGGAGAACTGGACCCTGACCGCTGCGAGGCATTGATGGGTGCACGGGGTTGCTTGGGCTGTGCTGCCAGCCACGGTGCGGTGCAGTGCTCCTCTCCTGGGGGCCTAAGACCGTGTGGCCCCCTCTCCAGGTGCCCCTTGCAGCACCTGTGCCCTCGACAAGGAGGAGGAAGAGGAGGAGGCCAGGTCTGCCCTTGCCAGCCGGCAGCAGCACAACACCACATCTCTGGGCATGTTTAACGACAGCCCTCGATAGGCCGTGGATGTCCGTCCTGCGCCGCATGGCACGCGCTGCGGTGTGCAGGTGTTCGGGGGTGCCGCAGAGCGACCCAGGTGGAGGCAACAGCTCCGGCACGGAGGGCTTGAACGCTGCAACATTTCAGCAGGGAAAGACCCCGTTGCGATAGCGTTGCTTCCCCTCGTGAGCTGGTGCTTGCAAGGCGAGCTGGGAGCGCTCCGGCAGCAAGGCTGTTATTAGGCTGTCACTTGGCTAGCAATTTCAGCCGCGCGAGGGGCGTCCCGGGCTGGCTGCGTGCGTCAGGCATGTGCGAGTGAGTTAAAACGAGCGGTTGCAGCTCCGCAGTCGCCCCACGTCCCTCTGCGGGGGGCAGGGGAAGCTGCCAGCGCGCGGCTGGCGGGCCAGGCCAGGCTCCGTCAATGGATGTGCAGCATGCAGAAGGCAGCCAGCCGCTTTCCTGGGGGGGGTTTGCTTCTGCTTTTGCTTTAGCACCCACCGTGGTCCCTTTCTAGCTGGTTTGTATGGGGTAAGTTAATATAGCAGGCCTAAAGCCCAAGAGGGTGGCCCCTTTTCATAGACGTTGGAGAGAAGTAGGGTTGGAAGGGACCTCCGCGGGTCATCGCTCTTATTCGGTACAGGGGAGAGCTTGAAGCTGTGCTAAGAAGAAAAGGGGAGATGTGGCTTGGTAGCAAAGTCAGCAAGGGCTGGGCATCATCAAATGATAGAAAATGAGGGTGGAAGGGAGCTCAGGAGGTCACATCTAGTCCAACCCCTGCTCCAAGCAGGGCCAGCCCCAGCTGCATCATCCCAGACAAGGCTTTGTCTACCCGGGTCTTCAACACCTCCAAGGATGGAGACTGCACCACCTCTCTGGGGAGCCTGCTCCACTTTGCTACCCTCCTAACGAGAAAGTGTTTCCTAATATCCAACCTCCACTCCCCTTGCTGCAGCTGGAGCCCATTGCTCCTTGTCCTGTATCTGCCCCCACTGAGACCAGCCCAGCTCCATCCTCTTTGCAGCCCCCCTGCAGGGAGGTGAAGGCTGCTATTCAGTCCCCCTCGGTCTTGGGTTGTGTTCCCACCTCTGCCCTGAATCCTCAGCCTGGTCCAGGTTACCCCACGAGTGCACGTGTGTAATTCCCACTTCCAAGGTGCACGGCGGTCGGGGGCACCGGGCACAGAGCTGCCCAGCCTCATCGCAGCTGGCGGGAAGAGGTCGGATGCTCCCGTCTCTGCTTCCAGCCAGGGCCTGGGGCTTTCACCCTCAGAGCGGATGGGTCAGGGCCCTGGGGCACGTCGGCAGCTCAGGGCTCTCCTAGTCCCACCTTGCAGGCGTCTGAAACGGGTGCCCTGTGTCTGGCCCATGTGAGCAGGGAGCACGGCGCTGATGAACCCCCCAGGACTCAGCGTGGCTCCTTGATATCTGGAGCAGAGCCCTGGTACCAGGTAACGGGCTCATCTGGACATATCAGGGAGGGGAATTTGGCGCCCAAACCCCTTAGGAAGCCTCCAGCTCCCAGGTTTTTTGTGCAACTCTAGCTGTAAAGCAGGAAGCGTGTGGCCAGTGCCGCTGGCAGCTTCCTCCCGTCGCAGCCGGCGCCTCGTCGCTCTCCTCGCTCCCGCGACTCTCACCATAAGGGAACGTCACCAGGCTCCCAGCCCGTCGGGCCCTTTCCTAGCCGGCCCCCCACGCGCGCGCCAACAACAAGTTGCGCAGGTTGGCTGTTCGTTTCCAGCCTGCTGTTTAATTAAATGCTTTTGCCATGGCAACCCCCAGCTCACATGATATTTCCATATGCTAATGCCACGTGCGGAGCAATTGTCTTCAGGAAACATCACAGCATTGTCTGAACAAATCTGTCTCCGAAAACAGCTTCTTAAAGAGGCGCTGAAAGAAAACGAGATGCCTGCCAGCTTTCCTGTTGGTTTGATTCATTTTGTTGTGTTTTTTTTTAACATACCGAATTTCTGGGAACTGTGGAGCAAAAATGGTTAGTTTACTCTTGGCTCGGGAGCTCGTCGTCCCAAGAGCTGAGCCGATGGCACGCGGCGGTTCTTGCTTCCTCTGTGTGCAAGGCGGAGGCAGCAATGCTGTGTGCAAGACTTTGCCTCTGTGTGCAAGGCGGAGGCACCCAGTGGTAGTTAAAACAAGGCTTTGCCCTCGAACTGGTGCCCATTTTTGGTGAAAAAGGGGATTTTTGTCTTTGCTCCAAAAGTCGTTGCTTGGGCACTTGTCAGAAACGCTGGACTGCTTTGGGGCGGGGGGTCTTCTGGTGCCCTCGGGGCAGGTACCGGATGCAGGATGAGCTGCACTGCAGTGAAGGTGGAGCGGGGGCACCTGTGGGATGCTTTGTACCGAAGCCAGCCCACGCTTTGTGTGGTAGGAGGTGACACAATTGGAAATATAGAGCATCCACTTATTAAGAACTCACTTTGAGATGCCTCCCAGGGACCTGGAGCCTGGACGCGCACACTGATAGATACACGCAGCACCCCAGAGAAACAGGCCTCTCCAAGGTGCCTCCAGAAGGACACCCGAAACGGGGGCTCTCACCGTCACACGTCACAGCTGAAGTGTGCAAAACCAGACGGATGAAACCATGCCTGTATTAGTCGTCACACGTCACAGCTGAAGTGTGCAAAACCAAATGGATGAAGCCATGCCTGTATTAGTCGGTGTGCACTGGGTGTGTGTGTGTGTGTGCTGTGCATGCATCTGCTCGCACAAGAGCTAGTTTTGCATCACTGGTGCAATTCTCCTGGCTCTACCAGAGTTATTCCTGGGTCTCGCTGGCACAAGCAAGGTCAGAATTGGGCACCAGGTGTGTCTCCTCGAGGCAGGTTAGTAAGAGGCTGGCTGTGGCTGGGGGTCTCAGCAGAGCCCGTTCCACGCGGCCTGCCCGGGACAAGGAGCAGGGATGGCCGGGGGAGCAGCAGAGGCCGAAGGCACACCCACCCATCGCCCGGGAACGCACGGCTTTCATTTTGGTGGAAATAAATGAAACAACTGTGTTGAATTTTCCTACAAATCCTTTGTCTGGAACCGACGCTCACTGGGCACCGTCCCACGCAGCCCACGCGGTGCAACAGGTTTTCTTCGTCGCCGCTCCGTATCAATCGGGTTTCTCTCCTGAGCCTGTCATGGCCTGACTCGCTGCTTCTCACCCTCTTTCTCTTTTTTTGTTCTTTAGCAAAAGTCTTGTGGAAAAGGCTTGTTCAACCTGAGCTGTGGCCACCTCAACCTTGCCGAGAAGGAGTACTTTGGACTGGAGTTTCAAGGCCAGGCTGGGAATAATGTGAGTGATGTGCTTTGATTAAAGCAAAAACCCAACGACCGAAGCACCCCCCTAGGCAACGCCAACGTTAACCATCTCATTCTTACTATTGCGTTCAGGAAAGGGATGTTTCATAACCCTCAGGGCCGCAAAGCCAAGTGCTCCCAGGCTTGGGCGTGCTGGAGTTACCGATCCCGGTGGGACCGTTGCTCTGCCCCTTGGTCCAGATGCACGCGGCTGCTCTCTATAAGGACAATGTCACCCATGCTGCTCCGGTCCCTTCCCAGAGTCTGAAATGGTTCGAGTTTAGCAAAGTGACGTGCATCCAAAACCAGGGGCTTAGCATGGAAAACGTCAGGCAACCTTTGCTACTGACTTGGCTTAATGGAATAAGGGCAGCAGCCCGTGGTAGTCACCGATCCCTCCAGCGAGACCGTCGCTGCTCCGCAGTTCACAGACAGCGGGTGATGGAGGCAGAGCCAAGAATACAGCCCAGGTGTCCCCATGCCTAGCTCCGCACCCCAGCTGCAGGCCAGCCCAGCTGGCAATGGGGAAAATGGAGAGCCGTGCTCTCCACCGCGGCCCTGCCAGCGTTTGCTCGTGGAGCCGCGTTTCCGCCACCCCCGTCTCTTAGCATCACTTGCTCTTTGCTTGCTAGCGAGCCGTCTGGAGACAATAGCTGCGCGCTCAGTCTCGTGGGAGCGCCCCAGGGCACGCTCCGTCCAGCTCCCAGTCGAGGAGCTGCTCTCCATCGGGGCAGGGGAAGGGGAGGGCGTCTTCTTTGTGCACAGAAATCTCACCCCGTGGGATGCCCCGGCCTCGTGCAGGGCTGCTCGTAAAGGGAGGAACTCCGTCTCGAGCAGAGCAGGCCTCGTTCTTCCCCTGCAGACATGCCACGAGTGAATGGGGCCCGTCTCCAAGCTACGCGGGGCTGGTCGCGACTTTGCTCCTCTCCGGGCATCAGCCCTGTCCCGTCCAGCTGGCCTCGCCACTTTGGGCGCGCGTCGTAGGAGCAGGCTTAGTGCTCGGTGACTTGTGTTCACCCCTGTCTCCCTCGCTGTCGTTGCAGGTGTGGTTGGAGCTGCTCAAACCCGTAACAAAGCAAGTGAAAAGTAAGTGTCTCAGGGGCGAGAGCCAAGCCAGGCTTGGGTGTCTCGCTTCGTCCTGGCGTCCCCTTTAAAACCCCGTGACTGTTGGCCTGCCTTGCACCCATTCAGAGCTGGGGTGCTCCAAACGCTCGGTTTTCTGGTCCAGTTTTCAGGGGGGTTATGGTCAAGGCAAAGTGTTTCCCTGGGTCTGGGCAATGCTTCCCAAATGCACCGAGTGAAGCCGCGCATCATCAGGCTGCCCTGAGCCGCGGCTGTTCACCATGCCCTGTCCCGTCGGGAGAGCCCCGGGCGCCTCTGAGGCCAAAGCTGGGTGCCAGCCCCTGCTTTTGCACCCCAGGTCTCGGGCTCCCTGCCCCCCCCGAGGCAGCCGGGCATCAGGCTGCTCGTGTTGTGCCAAGAGGCTCAGCCTCCGGGTTGGGGTCCCCGTCACCCCATGCCAGTGCCCTTCTGTGTCCCCGTGTGCATGCGGCGAGGGGACACCCAAAGCACGGGTGTAGCAGATGCCGGGGGGGTTACTGAGCACTGTGCTCCAGTCCAGCCAAGCTCCCCCGCTTCATTCGGGGCGCTGGCCTGGCGAACGCAGCGGCTGGCCCACGGGCACCGTCCCGCCAGCCCTGGCTCGGTCGGGACGCACGTGCTGGCTCCCCGGGCTTGCAGCGCATGTGCAGAGATGTGTGAATGTGCTCCCCAGGTGCTGGAAAGCAAACTTATGAGGATGTTGTGTTTTAAGATCCTAAGGAGATTCTTTTCAAATTTATGGTGAAATTTTTCCCAGTGGACCCCGGCCACCTGCGAGAAGAGCTGACAAGGTACGGTCCTATTCCCGGTCACTGGGTTTTTGGGGTTTTTTTTTTACATAGCTTCCAGTCTTTATAGGCTGCAAGGGGCTGTTGCACGCGTGCTTTGTTAGAGGAAATAATGCAATGTCTTCAGACTAAAGAGACGCCCTCTCCCACCAGGAGCACAGCTTTGGGCTTTGCAAAATTGTCTTTCTATTGCTTTATAAAGCAACAAACCAGTGCTCTGCCCAGTCCATTGGCTTTGGGTGCTAGAAGCCAGTGCACATGCAGAGCTGAATTGTATTGGCTGCAGTGTTCCCCTTTAGTGCACGTTGTGTGCTGTTAGGAAGCGATGACGTGTGTGGCCCTTGCATCACAGACACGAGTCTGGGGTAAAACCCAAGCTGTTTTCGGCCGGGCGGCTGCAGGCAATTTGAACCCAAAGCCCTGAGTGGCACGAACTGCACTCTTTGGATCCCAGAGGTGTGTTAACTCTGAAACCTACAGATGGACGCTCTGACCTTGCTGTTATCTTTTTGGCTGAGGAAACACCCAAAGGATGTGCTTTCTCTGCCACCCTGGGAGTGGGGTGAAGGGGTCCGGTGTCCCGTTTCTGCCCGAGATCACCGGCACCATCAGCCGGATGGGAGGCATGCAGGGACCTGAGCGGCAAGGGACAGTAACAGGCAGGACGTTGGCTCCACTGACTGCTTTTCTCCCACCCTTGGAGCTGTCTCTAGCCCGCTGCGTGGGGCTGCCCTGAGCCCCCATGGCAGGATTGGGGTCTGATTTGGGGCAGCATCCCAGGTGGTGATGCCAGGCACAGAGGGCTCCACAAATGCCCTTGCACTACTGCAGTGGCTTCCGCTTCGTGGCATCTCCCTGGCAAAGCTGCTGGCTCTGGCTTTGCTCCCAGCAGGGACGAGGAGGCAGGCGGGATCTGCCCTTAGCCCCAGCTGCCTGTGTCCCATCCCCTCCAGCCCTTGCTTTGAGGCATGCCAGCAGCCTGGCCATCAGGTTTTCTGCCTGAGCAGACAGGGGCTAGGAGCCAGCTGGCTCGTGGGCTCAGGAAACCACGCTCTCCTGCCTTCCAGATACCTGTTCACCCTCCAGCTCAAGAAGGACCTGGCCGTGGGGCGGCTCCCCTGCAGCGAGAACAGCGCAGCCTTGCTGGTGTCGCACCTTCTGCAGTGTAAGCACGGCCGGCTCGGGCCACGCTCCAGGCGGGAAGCGCGGGGTGGCACCCTCCACCCCAAACGTGGGTTAGGCTGAAAGACTGGAGCAGTCTCCAGGAGCTTGCTGGAGAGCCAGAGGTGGGGGACGGTGGGGGGGTCGTACTGAGACCTATTGCTCTAGGTGCCTTCGCCCACTCCACCCTATTAGCGTCCAAACCAGGTGACAGGGGAGGACATGCGGCACATTTCTCCCAAATTATTCGGTGGTGGAGGTGGTGGGAGTGGAGCAACTGAACAGCCGTGCGCTGGGGTCAGCTGCTCCGCTGCGCCGGCCATGAGGGACGCCGAGCTCGAGGCACGTGGGTACCGGGGACCTGCGGGACTGCACCTCTCCAGTGACCGCTGCTCAAGGCAAAGGGGGGCCCTGTCCTTTAGTGGCCAGGCACGGATGGCAGCCTCCTCGGCCAAGCCACGGCCCTAACCAGCACCCTCCATCTCGGGCTGCAGCGGAGCTGGGCGATTTCCACGAGGTGGCGGACCAGCAGCACCTGGAGACACACAAGTACTTGCCCAACCAGGACAGTCTGGAGAACAAGATCATGCACTATCACCGGAAACACGTGTGAGCCCCCGGCCCTCCGCCGTGACATCCTGCGCGC